ATTTCGCAGCCAAAGTATCCCGGCATGCGGGGAGAGTTTGTGACGCCGCAGTCGATCTCTCTTTCGGGAGACGTCTTGGCCGTAAAGGACAAGAACGACGAGAAGAGCGTCTATCTCTTTGACGTAAAGTCTGGGCGGCTGCTGGGAGACGGCCCCGTCAAGCACCTGATGGAGATTACCGAGCTGTCACTCAACAAGCAGAATCTTGGGTCGGGAAGGCTCCTGGCCATTGTCGACAAAAACAGAGACCTGTTTCTCGCCAGGACCAGCAAGCCAAGCTTTCAAAAGATGGGCAACATGGTGGATTCGTTTGCCTGGAACGACGACAACGATCTGCTGGTGGCCATCATGGATTCCAAGCTGGTTGTGTGGTACTATCCCAGCGCCATCTTTGTCGACGAAGACATTGTTCCGCTGGCACGAAGCGAGCGCGAGGGGCTTTCCTACGGCGACAATGCCCAAATCGTCAACTTCAACTCGACTAACTGCACGATTCGCAAGTCGGACGGCGCAGTAATCCAGGTGTCGGGCATCAGTCCCTATGCCGGAATTCTCCAAGAGTTTTCAAAGAAAAAGCAGTGGGAGGGAGCCATCCGTCTCTGCAGACACGTCAAGGACAAGGAGCTTTGGGCTGCGCTTGCCGCCATGTCGCTGGCGAGCCAGGACCTGAACACTGCCGAGGTGGCCTATGCCGCCATTGATGAGGTATGCGCTGGCGCCGCTTATCCGGCCAGATCCACAAGGTCCAGTATGTCTGCTACGTCCGCGACATTCCCTCTGCCGAGGGACGGGCTGCAGAGCTGGCGCTGCTGCGAAAGCAGCCAAGAGAGGCCGAGCAGATTCTCTTGTCTGCCAACCTGATCTACAGATGCATCCGCATGTGGATTGACCTGTACAACTGGGACCGGTAGCCCCCCGTTTCTTACCGTAGTGCGCTCGAGCTGGCAGTCAAACACAAGACGCACGTAGACACCGTGCTGCACTTTCGAGCCAAGTATCTGCACGCGCTGGAAAAGGCCGAAGACAACAAGCGATTTCTGCAGCTGGCCGACTCGGTCCCGGTCGAGTGGAGCAAGGTTCAAGCAAAGATTTCCATGGAGCTGGAGAACGAACGCAGCGCCAAGATCCACCCTAAGACACCAGTGGCGGCCCGATAACCATCAATGCCCGGTAATAAAGACACTAGAGTCCAGCCATGCGCCGTGGGGTGGCTGCTTCCCTTTGTCGAGTCGGTGACCGGAAAGGATACTGGTCCTGGTGGTGTCCAGCTGCAGGCGTCTCGCGACTTGACCCGGAAATTGTAGCATGACCAACTCGAGACAGCTGATTCGACACACGGTGGCGGCGCTTAAAGAGTTCGAATCTGTTCGACTCGGAGTGGGTCTCAGGCGCCATGGCAATCAGGATTCTCGGTTCTCCAACCCCATTGCTGCCGAGGAAGAGCAGCTGCTGGAAACCTATCTCTCCGAACACAACGTAGCGACTGGAGCCGCTAACCGAGTAGATTACTGGCGAAAACGAATGCAGCTTTGTTCGGGAAACGTATCTCGGCTGCATCCGACGAGGACCATTCCTTGAAGCAACCCTTCAGCGGTTTCTAAAGTCGGCAAGCGGGACGTTTCTCCAGAAAGACTACTATTTGTTTGCGGTGATATGCTACCTCGCTCTGTGGAGGCTCGAAGAGATTGGGTTTGCTGCATTCAGCCGGTTTGTGCGATGCTTTGAGCCGGGCAAGATGGCGCTGCTGGTCGCGTATTTATTCAATCCAGACAATGTGCAGGGAGAGCTGAGGACTCTGTGGTGCTCTCATCTGGACGAACACTATGTTCGGGAAAAGATCATTGAGCCCATGGTATACCACGTTCCCAATGCCCAGCAGCTGGAGCGAGAATTAAAGAAGCTGAACGACAATGGAATGGAGCTGCGGAAAGTGAGAAAAGTCACGGCGGTCGACCCGTTTCTGCTCACCGTCCCCAAGCCCAGGAGCCTTCCGCAGCCAACCGTTGCTATCCCAACCGAAATTAGGGTTTGGCTGTGCTGGGACGCTAACCGAATCGCTAGGCACGGCCGATACCCAAAGCCCTGTTTGAAACCCCGCGAGACGAGATCGTGCTGAGCCAGAAGCGAGCCGTCAACAAAGACAAGGCCAAGGTGGGCCGCGTCAACTCTCTGACCGCTAGAAACTGTACGAACAGGCACAGGAGGGGCAGTTTAGTGTCGCACGGCCTCCGTCGTCGGACAAAAAGGAGGCGCTTCGGCAGAAGCTGAAGCAAGAGGAGCTGGCGAAACAGGTCAAGCCCTGGACAAGGCCGCATCGATCGCCGCAGGCTGCCAATGGCAGTGTGGACGTGAAGCTCACGACGGCCGCCATCTTGCGAGAAGAGTCGCTGCTCCAAAAGAAGCGGAAAGAACAGCAGCAGATGATTGCGGCCGCCGAAATGGGGCTGCAGGATGCCATCGAGTTTGAGGCCTGGAAGGATCGGCTAAAGGCCAAGGAGGAGGAGGAGCGCATTCTAGAGCTGGAGCGCAAGCGCCTCGAAGTCCAGCTGCTCCACGAAGAAACGTATCTGGCTCGCCAAGAGCTCGTCAGGGAAAACAAGGAAAAGGTGGCCGAGGTCCTGGCTGAGAAATGCGAACTCAAAACCATTGAAAAGGAGATCAAGATGGTGCAGGCGCTGGAGAACCAGAAAAAGATTGAAGATGTCCACCTGATTAAAGAAGGAGCGACAAAGGCAAAGGAATCCATTGCCAAGAACAAGGCTCGCAACGGTACGGGCTGTGCTGTTTACCGTAGCCGCCTCAATCATGAAGGAAAAGAAAGTGCTTCAGATGCAGATCCTAAGACAAGAGGAAGAGGAGCGATTGCGCAAGACCAAGCTGATCCAGCAGATCCGGCTGCTGGAGCTGGGGTTTGCAAAGTCCAAATCGATACCAAAGGAAGTCGACTTGACCGAGAGCTCTGGCATTGGTCTTTTAGGAGAGATGTCGGTTGCAGAGGTAGAGGCCAAAGGCTAACGGGCACAGCTGCAAGAGCGTCTTGTCGTAGCCAAGGCAAAGGAAGCAGAGGCCTCGGAGGCAAAGAGAAAAGAAATTGGCCAGCTGAAGGAAAAAAAGGCACTGGAAATGTGCCAGAAGCTGCAGTACATTGACCAGGAGCGCCAGATCCGCAAAGAAAAACGCATCAGCAAAGCCCTTCCCGAGCGCGGGCTGTCTACACTGTCGATGGCCTCCGACTCTTCCGACGCCAAGGAGCTGATTCGGGAAAAAGATCGCCACCTGCGCTCTCTGCACGCCAAGATCCTGGAAAAGAAAAGGTCGAGGCTGGCAGCTGCCCAGAACCCCAGATCGGTGTCGGCGATGCCATCGTCCTTGGCTGAGATGAAGCACGATGCCGACGAAATCGATCGGGCTCGCCGGGACGTTTTCACGTTGGCATCTTGACAGTTTACATAAACCATGAAACGGGGCGAAGACGCTGTTTCGGCAGATTCGGCTACTGCCAAGCAACTGTACAATGAAATCAACGACAAGGAATCCCACTCCACCCACTGCTTCCGGGTGCATTCCAAGGTCAAGAGAAGTCCGCTGGACTCCAGCGCACCCACCAACTACCGCGGCTTTTTAAATCTGAGTGTGCTATTTCTTTGTGTGTCCATAGTCCGATACGTTCTGGACAACTGGAACCACCATGGGTTTATTCTCCGGCTGCCGTACCTGTCCAGGGGAGCGCTCCTGTCCAGCGACTCTCGATGGATATTCGTTAGCATGACGCTGCAGGGGCTGATCATTCCGCTGAGCTACGGAACCGAGGTGTTTGCTGCATCTCACGCCTACCAGAGGCCGCACGACCGGACGGTCGCTAATCTGGTGCATTTCTGTATATTGTCGTGTGCATTTGCAGCCATCAGCTGGCTATCGTACTTTAAAATCTGGCACCCCCTGGCCTCTGCATTTCCTCTGGTGCTGGGGCTGATCTTGATCATGAAGCTCTCGTCGTTCATCTTTGTCAACCACGACTACTGGCACCAGGCCGCGCTGTACGGAGCGAGCAAAAAGAAGGACGGTGCGACTGCGGCGAGCCGATGCCAGTACCCGCAGAACCTTACGTTTGGGAGGCTCTGTTATTTTATTGTGGCCCCCACGCTGTGCTACCAGCCCGAGTATCCACAAAACCAGCACATTGACTGGTTTTTTGTGATGAAGCGACTTTGGGAAACCTCTCTGTCTCTTTTTGGGATCTACTTTTTGTCTGTTCAGTACTGCGTCCCGGTGCTTGAAGACTGTGTCCAGGCCATTGAGGCGGAGCAGTACCTGCACCTGGCCGAGCGGATCCTGAAGCTGTCGGTGGCCTCGGTGGCAGTCTGGCTCTTGCTGTTCTGGAGCATGTTCCACTGCTTCCTGAACGTGATGGCCGAGCTCCTGCGCTTTGGAGACCGGGTCTTTTACAAGGAGTGGTGGAATGCCCGCGATTTGAGCGAATACTGGAGGCTCTGGAACATGCCGGTCCACCACTTTTGCAAGCGGCACATTTTCCGGCCCCTAGTTGTCAACTACAAGGTGGGCAGGCTGGCTGCCGGCTAACCGCAGGTCCCGCAGCTGCTGGCGGTAATTGGAGTCTTTTTCTTTTCGGCAGTGATGCACGAGATCCTGATCGGCATCCCGACCAAGAATCTGTCAGGAATGGCGTTTTTTGGCATGCTGAGCCAAATCCCACTGATTCTCTTTACTGCCTCGCTGGACTCGATCCGCAAACGGCTGTTTCCCCAGCTAAAGGGACAGGTGTTTGACACGCTGGGAAACCTGGTGTTTTGGACAAGCTTTACTGTGTTTGGCCAGCCCGTGTGTGTTGTTGCATACTACTTTATGTGGCAAAAGCGGTTTGCGTCCTAGCCTCGCTACATAAATCCTCTCCCACCACTATTGCACCAATTGCCTTCTGCTCGCACGTCAAAAAAAAGAGCAAAACTGAATCATTTCGGGGATGAGCTGTCTTCAGAAAAAGCTCCTACTGGGATTTGCACCCAGGACATCTCGCGTCGGAAACGAGTACGCTAAAACTACTGCGTCACAGGAGTCTCGAAAATCTGCCAACCATTGCTACTAGTCAATGTCTGTTTGCATCATAAAAACGAACCGCTGCTATTCTGCCATGCTTCCTGCCACCCACTCCACCGTCTGCACCACCCATGGCCCTCCTGCGTCCCCAATGCTTTGTGTCGTCCCGCCGTCGGGCATGCTCGTCGTAGGAAGACGAGCCGCAGCGCTGGCCGGCCAAATGCCACCGACTACACTGCCCGGTACTCCCGCCGAATCCCAGCTGTGTTTGTGCTGGAAACAAAAAGTGGCAAGCAGCTGGCGTATGCGGAAATGAGACCGACGTGGCAACGTGGCGGAGTGGTCTAACGCGGTGCACTCGAAATGCACTCTTCTCTGAAGGCGCAAGTTCAAATCTTGCCGTTGTCGCTTTTTTGTTTCTTTTGCCTCCCAGCGAGGCTGCAGCGACGGACTGCCACTGGACGACGGGACACGCAGATCGGAAAACGGCTTTATGTAACAGGCTGCTATGCGTCGCAGCAGCTAGAAGGCGTGGTAGAGATTCAGGATGGTTTCGTACACCGTAAAGACAATACCGCCGCTAAACACCAGACGTCCGAGCCGGGGAGTCGCCCCTTTCCACAGCGCCGTCACTCCGGCTTCTCGAACCACCGTCGCCAGATTGGACGCAATGGACCCCTGTGCGCCGAGACTCTGCAGCCGCGTCTTGACCACATCCAGCGGCATGGTGGCATACACGGTGATGGTTCCGGCAACCGCCCCTAGTCGATTAGCCGCGTGCAGCCGTACCCGACAGAAAGCTAATGTACCACGGCACCAGCGGCTTGCCCTTGGCGTCGAGGGGATACGCCTTTGCCAGCTGCTCTCTGATCAGCCCGTACGAAGACATGCGGACGGCCGAGTTGGCTCCCTGGCGGGCAATGACCGCCCCCACTCCCCTATAGATCCCTCGGACGCCTTCTTCGTGGACGATTGTCTTTACTCCGTGGAAGAGTCCCTTGAAGCGCGGGTTTGGCTTGTTCTGGTCATGGATCATCTTTGTCTTGATGGTTTCTAGGGCGTGAATGGCTGTAGACCTACCGGAAGGAGTCACAACAAGCAGACCCTCGACCATCCCAGCCGCCAAACCGGCCACCACCAAGCCCGACGACTTGGGCATGCCCATCGTATTCAAGAAAAAGTCTCTGCACTGGTCAAACGTGAGAAACCGCACTCCGGCCTTGCTGGCATTCCCAATCACCAACGGCGAGAGACCTTTGTAGAGCCCCAGGATGCCCCGCTCGGCGACGGTTCTTTTGATGCAGTCGAGCGGCCCCTGGAAGGTATTGTTTGGGATCTGCAGCTGTGTCTTGACAAACTCTGTGGGATACGTAACCACGCCTTCAATTGCACCCGCAATCATTCCGGCACCGAGCGACACCAGTGGAGGCGGCGCCGGCTTGAGACTTTGATTTCGACTCGAGGTGGCAGCCATGGCTCTTCAGTCTTTTGGGCAAAGTGTCTCAGCATCTCTTTTCCAAAACCTTTTGATCACCAGTCATGCTTCGTTCCGGTCTTGCGAAATGCAGCTTTTCCACGACTCGCACAGTCTGCTCTAAAATAGGAAGAACCGTCGTCAAGCTGGCGCCGGAAACAAGCGTGCAGCTGAACCAGCAGCGGCTGGTCGTCAAGGGAGAAAAGGACGAGCTGTCTCTGCTGCTGCCGGACTATGTACATGTGGAAATCGGCCAGCACATTGGCGGAGCAGGTTTGGCCACTGCTGATGACAGCCAGGCGGAAAGACCATCCAGGTGTCGGTGCTCGAGGAAAAAAACGAAAAACAGCGGGCCATGTGGGGCACAGTGAGGGCCCTCATCCAGCGAATGGTGACGGGAGTGCAGGATGGCTACACTCTTTCTCTGAGAATGGTGGGTGTAGGATACCGAGCGTTGATGGAGGAGGGAAAGCTCTCGCTCAAGATTGGCGTGTCCCACCCCGTGCTCCTGGAGATACCCGCGGGAATCAGGGTGTCAATCCCGGCGCCGCAGCGCATCATCCTGCAGGGAGCCGACTGGCCCAAAATCACACAGTTTGCTGCCCAGGTGCGACCGAGCGTGCTCACTCTAGGTATTGCTGCCAGTCTAACACCAGATCCGGGAATGGAGGAAACCAGAGCCTTACAACCAAAAGGGCATCTTCGTGGGCGACGAGACCATCAAGCCCAAGGCCGGCAAAAAGAGATAGCCGTCTCTTTGGCACATTAGTGAGCGCTACGCAAATAAAATACTTTAAATAAATAGTTTAGTTCTCGAAAGCCATGGGATCCATCGCGGGAGACGCTGTTCGCATGGGATGGGCCGGAGGCTGGCTGGACGGTGCAGGGATGCCCAGGTGGCTGTACTGCGGGTTGTTCTGGAACTGGTTGGGGAGGTACGGCTGCGAGTAGCTCTGGCCTGTTTGGTATGAAGCGGGTTGGTACGAGTGCTGTTGGTATTGGGGATTGGGAAAGCCGGGGTCTTGAAAGCTGTCAGAGTAGGATCGCTCAGCAGGGCCAACGTGGTTTGGCAGGCGGGAATAGGCGGTGGACAGGAGGAGATCGTCCTGCGGAGTCGGAGCCCTGGCCACGGGGGGAGAATGGTGCATGGAGCTTTGGCGGAATCCCATCGATGTATGCGGTCTAGGGGGAGGGGCATATCTCTCGGGCGGATAGGCCAACGGCGTCGAGGGACGGGGAGGGAGATTGGACAGCGGGGCTGGCATGGCGCCGTGCGGGTTGACGGACGGCGGCAGATGCAAGGGCACGCCATCCTGGGCATTCAGACAAGTCTGGATCAATGCCTTTCCCTCGGGCTTGGTGATCAGCGGCTGCAGCTTGGGAGTGGCAAACGTGTAGACGTGACCAGTCTCGCTGGCCACCAGGAGCAGGACTTGGGTGCCAGTCAATGTGCTCAGCTCGTAGGCCTACAAACCATTAGCAAGGGTGTCTCACCTTTTTCATAATGCCGGCCTTTCGCTTGCTGAACGTAATGTGCCGCCGGCTCTTGTCCTCGATATATTCGATTTTGATTTTGCGGCGGGGATTGGCTTCCTTGAGGTCGTCTTCCTCTTCGTCCTCCAGACCAGCACTGGAAGCAGCTCGCTTCTGACCCAACGGGGCATGCGGTGCGGTGCCAGGCCGGTTTAGGTGTGTGTGGGCCGGGGAGTTTGCGGCAGAGGGGACCGGCGTGGGATAAAGGCTGTCGTTCGTGTTCATGGTAGATGTTGCTGGACTGGGTTCTGTTGCCGACTTGCCTTTTTGGGTGGAATTGCTTTTTCGAATCGGTGTTTATAACGAACAAGCCACCTGTGACGAAAACAGAAAGGGGTCTTCCATCTGAAACGGTTTCATCGTGCAAAATGGGGGTTCATTTATCGAGTGCCGCCCACGTCAGCCCTTGCTATCTATACCACCAATTATAATAATAAACACATCGACGGCCGGTCCCTCTGCTTCCGCTGGGCCATCTTGAACACCCGCGAGTGCGATGGACACTTTGGCAGCGTGCAGCACGACTTGCAGAGCTTTTCAAGACACTTTTCCGAGGCCACGTTGCGACAGCTGCCGCACTGTTTTTTTTTCCCTGGGGTCAGACTGTCTGGCCTACCGGCCCCGCGAGACTCCTGGCCCTCCCGCTTTCTTTTCCCGGCCGGCTCGGCCTTTGCTGTGGATGCAGCCTTGGCCAGCTTTGTTTTGCTTTCTGGCATGTGTGCGGTCGGCTCCGGTGCGGCCACTGGGGTGGCCTTGGACACTGGAGGAGCATGCTTTCGCACCTTGGGCTGGGCAACCCAGATAGGCAGCTGCATGATTCCGCTCGCGTCCAACACAACCGGCCCCGTGTACAGCACAGCGTCGCCGTACTCGTTCTACGGTCAGCGCACCACACCTACAATCAGCCGCGCCTTCATTTCAAAGTGGACTTCGTGTATCTGGCTCCAGCCGTTGACTCGGCCCAGCTTGTCGCGCAGGTCAGTGTGTTCCATGAGCGGCGCATGGTACATTTTGAATAGATGTGCCTTGGCCTGGCCAGCAGTTGCCGAGTCGGGGTGCTCCTTGATAATGTCCAGGTACTCCTGCACCAGATGCCAGGATGCCCACAGCTTGTCTTCGAACAGGGCCGGATTGCAGAGCTAGCCGTCAGCACCAGCGGCCTACGTTCGACTCGGCAGACATGACGCCAGCCACTCCCGTCGCCTCAAGACACCGCGCAATGTCCTGGAAATAGAGAATGTTTCCGTTGGCAATAACGGGGATCGTCAGAGCCTCCCGTACCGCCCTGATCTTGTTCCAGTCGGCCAGGCCGGTCAGCACGCCCTTTTGTTCCCGAAGACGGCCATGCACCGTCAACATCGCAGCGCCGGCCTCTTCAATCATCTTGGCGTATCTAGACACGTCAGCCGGCCCGACGCTCCAACCTAATCGTTTTGTCTACCTCGTCAAACACTCTAATTTTGCAGGTGATGGGGATGTCGAGCTCCTTGGCCAGCAGCGTCACCATTGTTCTAATCAGCTCCCAGTCGTCCTGGAGAAAGGCGCCGTAGTGCCCTCTCTTTGCGATTTGCTGAGGACATCTGGAGTTAGGATGCCCGTCGTACCCGAGGTTTAGGTCGACGGCGACGCAGCGGTCCTGCACCAGCTTGGCTGCTTCTAATAAATACTTGGGGTCGTTGGCGCAAAACTGCACCACCAGGTGCGCTTGTTCTTTGGGCGAAAATACCCAGTTGTCTTTTGTCAGATGGCGGAGCGTACCTGCCGGTGAGATTCCTGCGGCACACCTTTCCTGTACTTTTCCGAAGTGGCAAACAGCCTTGCGTGGAACATGGGGGTAAACGCCAGCTGTGCACCATGTCGTCCACAGAGGATTCTCCAGGCACACTCGCTCTGCTCCACCTTGCCGTCAGTTGAGGGCCGTACCATTGGAGCCACAATTCTTGCCTGTGGAGGCAGCAGATTCCGAAAGCGGTCGTTTTTGTTGGTTGGCTGGGCCATGTTTTCTTAAAAAGTTGGGCAAACCAACATGCTCTCGTCCACCAATCGCTCCTTTTTGTCATATGAAAAACAACGCAAAGTCGGCGAAGGTGCCGGCACCGCTCTTCTGACCTGCAGGAACCTTTGCCGTGGTGTACACTGGCGTGGCCAAGGCGGCTTCCGGCCCCAAAAACGACAAGAAAATAGCCATTAAGCGGATTAAGACCGGGCTATTTCCCGATGGCCTGGATCAAAGCGCCATCAGAGAAATCAAGTACCTCAGGGTAACGCCGGCGCGGCCGTTTATCTCAGGAGCTGAAGCACGAGAACTGCATAGAGCTGGTGGATGTCGTTTCGGTGTCGTCGGGAGGGCTGAACCTGGTGCTGGAGTTTCTGGAGACCGATCTGGTGCGTCGCGGCCCAA